ATGCTAAGGGAAGGAGAATCAGTTTTCTCCAGGGACAAGCTCCCTGATAAGTTATCCAATTCCAAGAGGTCAGCCCTAAACATACGTAAACAAACATCACTAAATGGGCTCAGTGAATTTATATGTACTTATATGTAGTATATTTATAAATGTATGTATGTATACACGACAATAATAAAGAAGGCTCTTTACACCATCTTTCCTTGCCACCATCATGGTACATATAAACTTCTTTGTGGATGCTCTCAAGAGTTTCACTAATGCTGAGAAGAGGGGCAAAAGCCAGGTCCTCACCAGGCCATGCTTCAAAGTCATCATCCACCACCTTACTGTCGTAATGAAGCATGGCTACATCAGCCAATTTGAAATCACTGATGATCAAAGAGCTGGGAAAACTGCTGTAAACCTCACAGGCAAATTAAACATGTGTGGCATGATCTGCCCTAGATATGATGTGCAGCTCAAAAAACTAGAAAAATGGCAGAGTATCTGACCTATTCTGCTAGTTTGGTTTCACTGTACTGAGAACCTCAGCTGACATCATGGACCATGAAGAAGCAAGACAAAAATGAAAACACACAGGAGGGAAAATCCCGGGATTCTTTTTCTAGGGATGTAAAACATACATGTAAATAAAACATGCCTCAGTGGGAAAAATAAAGAGGACAAGAAATTAAGAGGGAGTGGGTGGGGATATGGGAGAAATCAGAAAGGAGAATAGGAGGGTAGAAATGATAGAAATAAATTACTCATGTACGAAATTCTCAAAAAATAAAATTTTTTAAAATGTTTGGTATCTATGTCATGCAAAGTTTCCAAATACAACAATAAGCCAAACAATTTATTGGGAAAAATATGATTGAGACAGATACTTCATCAACAAACATAGGAAAGCTGCTCAAGGCTGTCAGTCTGAAAACTATCAGTGACTAAAAAAGGAAATGCACAATAGATGATACTGTGAAGCAGCAGGGAAAACAAAACTCTCATACTGCTGCCGAGAAGAAAACCTCATCGGCACACTGGAAAAGTTTAGTCCTTTCCTATAAAGTTGAACATACATTTGACATGAGACCAATAATCTGACTCCCAGGTATTCACACCAATGAAATGAATGCCTGTGTTCACACAAAATGATGTGTGTAAACAACTTTATTTGTAAATCACAGTTTTATTTGTGAATTCCTAAAACAGAAACACCCCAACTACCCATCAGAAGATGAAAGGCTAGAACATCAGGCACACTTGTGCAAGGAGTACAAGAGTCTAACTTATAAAAACACAACAGACTCCTCTATGCTGAGAAGGGAGAAAGGAGAGGTAACCTGGGCAATCTGCCTTCCCCCAAGGAAAGGACATAACCCATCTCAATCTATAAACCTTATAGCCTTTTTCTTATGTTTTTCAATAAATTATTAAAATTGCCATAGCCACAGCAGGAAAAATTAGATTCTTTCCTTAGTTTGGCCAAACTGTAGACAAACCCATTTTCCTTCACCAATTTCTGTTTCCTAACTTCTTTTGGAATACAGGGAACCTAAGGTGGCAGATTATGGGCCTAAATATCAAGTAAGAGTTACAGCATTCGGTTATCAGAAGAAACCACAGGCAACACCATGGAGCATGAAAGGGCCAGGCTAGAAAGTTGCTCCATGATTTCACCATACCCCAACCTGGAGAAGGTGCAAACTTACAAGTTAGAGGGCAAGTGCCAAGGTGGGAAGAGGTCAGACTACATGTACTATACAAGGTGTGAGGGAAGTTTTAGGGGTGATAAAACTGTTGTTTCTTTTTTAAAATATTAACTATTTTTATTTTATGTGTATGAGTATATTGCTTGCATGTACATAAATGCACCCATGTCGTGCAATGTCAGGGTCCTCTGCAAGAGTGGGCCAGTGCTCTTAACCTCTAAGCCATCTCTCCAGCCCTGAAACTATTGTTTCTTGACTGCGTTGGGCAGTGCACAATTATGTGGTTTGTCAACACACAACTCTAGACCAATGAAGAGTGAATATTACTGAGTGTTCAAATAGACAAAAACAAAGAAGTACTTAGAGTGTCATGTAACTCACCGATTAAAATAAGTTATCTACATATGACTGTAACATTAGAAGAAAATAGAAAGCTAATAACCAGTTAACTAATAAAATGAAAAAAGAATAAGAAAAAAAAACAGGGCTGGAGCAATAGCTCAGCAGTTAAGAGCACTGGCTGCTCTTGCAAGGGGACCTGGGTTCAATTACCAGTACCCACATGACAGCTAACAACTGTCCACAACTCCAGTTCCAGGGGAATTTGATGCTCTCTTCTGACCTCAATGAGCATTGCACCACACAGGTGCACTTCCATACAAGCAGGCAATACACTCATATACACAAAATAAAAACTTAAAATTTGGGTTGTTTTTGTTTTTGATTTTTTGAGACAGGATCTCCTTGTAACCCCAGCTGGCCTGGAACTCACTATGTAGACCAAGCCGGCCTTGAACTCATAAGAGATCCACCTGGCTCTGCCTCCCAAGTGCTGGGATTAAAGGTGTACGCTACCATGCCCGACCCAAAGTTGGTTTTTTTGGGGGGTCTTTTGAGACAGGTCTTCCTGTAGCCCCAGCTGGCCTGGAACTTGCTATGTAGACCAGGCTGGCCTTGAACTCACAGAGATAGTGGCACATGCCTGTCATCCCAGCATGTGGGAGAAGGTAGGAGTATCAGTTCAAGGCTGTCTTTGGCTACATATAAGTTTGAGGCCAGTCAGGGCTACTTAAGACCATGTATTTTATTTTTAAAGGGGGATGGGGGAGGTGGTCCTGGAGAGATGGCTCAGCAGTTAAGAGCACTGGTTGCTTTTGCAGAGGACCCAAATTCAGTTCCCAGTACCTACATGGCAGCTAACAACATCAGTAAAAGCTCCACTTCCACGGAATCCGACACCCTCTTCTGGCTTCTGTGGGCACTGCACAAACATGGTAAACTTACATACAAGCAGGCAAAAATTAAAGGTATAAGTCAGGCAGACAGATCTCTGTGAGTCTGAGGCCAGCCTAGTCTACATAGTGAGTTCTAGTACTGCCAGGGCTACACAGTATGAGAACCTGTCTCAAAAAAACTAAACAAACAAAATTCCAGGGATGGTACAGGCCTTTAATTCCAGCATTCAGGAGGTAGGTAGATCCCTGTGAGGCAAGTGATCTCTGTGAGTTTGAGGCCAGCCTGGTCTACACAGCAAGTTTCAGGCCAGCCAGGGCTGCATAGTGAAAACCTATCTCAAAAACCAAAACAAGCTGGGCATGATGGCACACACCTTTAATCCCAGCACTTGGGAGGCAGAGGCAGGTGGATCTCTTGTGAGTTCAAGGCCAGCCTGATCTACATAGTGAGTTCCAGAACAGCTGGGGCTACAGGAAGACGCTGTCTCAAAAAAGACAAAAAAAACCCACTCATACACATAAAATAAAAACTATAACTTTAAAAAAAAAATGAGGCTTGGTGGCTCACGCCTGCAATCCCAACACTTTGTAGGAGAAATGATATAAGTTTGAGGTCAGCCTGGGCTAAAGAGTGAGTTCCAGGTCAGCCTGGGCTAAAGTAAGATCCTGCCTCAAAAAGAAAGGAGAAAAGAAGGATGTAAAGGAAGAAAGAGAAGAGGAGGGGAAGAGAAGGGAGAGAATCCACTGTGAGATCTTTACAGTAATAACTGATTCAGATGCAATTCATCAACAGATGGCAGAAAAAGTTGATAAAAGTTTACTGAGATGCAAGACATTTACATAATTTATATAATCACTTACAAAAGGAAAAATAACTGTGCATTCAACAGGCCTGGTAGACACCACCACCTCAATAAAGTGCTCAAAAGTTAATATTACCAGCCATAGGGCAATGACACCATGACCTCAGGACATGATATACTGAGATGGACATATTGTCACTTCTCAAAAAATACATGACCTGAACATGACACAAGGAAGCATCAAATAATCTAGCATTGCAGAACATTACACAAAATAACTGGTCTGTATGTTTCAGAAACATCAAGGTCACAAAAGACCAAGAAACCAGTTCAGATTCAAGAAGGCCAAAGAGGCATGACAAGTACAGAATACAGAAATCCTGCACTGGGTCCAGGGCTAGGGAGAATTCATAAAAGGCCTCTCCAAGACAGAAGATGGAATCTGAATCTCAACTGTCCATCACAGCAGTGCCAGATTACTCCAGTACCTCTTGACTTGGAAGGTCTACCCTTATCTACCAGTTGAGGTATTTAGGGGTAAGGGGCATGGGGCATGATACCATTTGGCACAGTATATTCATGAGAATGAAATAAAGAGGAACAAAAGCTAACTCCAGTGAATCAAAAAAGGCACAGGGGTTTCTTGTATGACTACACCAACTTTTATGTGCTTGAAATTTTATCAAAATTTTAAAAAACAAAAATACCACAAAGAACAAAACCAGAACCCAACACAATCTACTCCAAAGCTCCTAGAACTTAGCATGTAGGTGGAAGCCTGGCGTTACTACTGCATTCTCGTCTCCTCCACTAAGAAGCTCCAGACCTGGTGACCTCTGGGTGATTCATAACAGTTATTTCCTCCAGCTAAGGAAAATAATTTATCACCTGCTCCTGTCTTTTCACTTGTTCTGTTTTGCACTGTTTTCAAAATACAGGTAAGACACAAGAAAGAACAAACATTAAAACACGGCACACAAGGAATCCTGAGCATACAATCAACAGGACTTTGAATATTAGATGACATGCACACTAAAAGCTACTACCACATTGCAGATACACAGAAAATAATGCAATGAGGTCTGGGTTGTCATTCACTCATGCAACTGAATTTCAGAACTGTATATGCAGAAAGACTTTGACTTTTTAAAATAAGGAATGGGCTCTGGAAAAAAATGCCAAAGAGCAAATAGTAAATTGAAGGTTAAAATATCTGGATGAAGGAAACGTTTGGGATGAGACTACAATTTAGAACCATCAAAAAGTACCTGAAACGGTTGCTGCTGGGATGAAAAAGCAGCAGAAACATTTGGCGGAAGCTGGGTTGCTATAGCAACGGGAGTCCCAGTCTGCCCATCCTTGCCTGTCACAACCTTTACCTGAGAGAAATATTTTGAGAAAAAAAGGCAACAATTTTTAAGACTGCTCAAAATTATTAGAATTTCATTGATGACAGCTCACTAATTTAGGTGTTTTAAAATGAAATGTTTTTACATCAAATCCTATAGGACACTGAGCTGACAGATTCATAGCATAATAATCTAACAGCTGCCAATCTTCAGAACTCCAGTCTAGGTCACTGGCAACATCCTAGATTCTGCAACAGGAGACAGTGCCCTAAAGTTGGCTTTTTGAGCCATTTGCACAGCTACAGTATTCTGTAGTCTACCGCATAGGTCACACAGCAAAGGTCTTCTTCAGTAGAAGCTGTGAGGGTTGTGTGTTTATTCACAAGTACAGATTAGGGGACTCAGTTTACAGACAACATTGGTAACAAACACAAAGAGAACTCAGTTTCACTGTTCCATGACACTAGTGGTAAGGTCCTCAAAATAATCATTGAGATTTTTTGAATAACAAAAAATGGTCCATCCCAGGAAGGACGTTGAAGAAGACACAGATGGCCAAGCCACACAGATACATCCACAGATGCTAGTGAGGACTCTGGAGCAGAGACAAACTTTTGTTCACCAAAAACAGGTTTCTTTGCCAAAGGGCTAAGAGCAATTTAAATTACTTTAGCTATGTCATAAAACAATAAGCTCCACCAACAAAATAAACACTACACAAGACAAAGGCACAAAACACAGTGCATCACAGTACAGGTCACTAAAACCCTGGCATCCAGGAAGCATACCTAAGAGAACCTCAGAACCACTGTGCTGGGGGGCAGAGGGGAGTACTGTGCAGCATTCTGGGAACCCAAAAAATAAACTGTCTACAAAAGGGTCTGTTTTAAGTATCAGTCCATAGGTGCTTGCAAAGTGTGAGTTTAAAATATAATCTCAGCAGGCGTGATGGCGCACGCCTTTAATCCCAGCACTTGAGAAGCAGAGGCAGGAGGATCTGAGTTCAAGGCCAGCCTAGTCTACATAGTGAGTTCCAGGACAGCTGGGGCTACAGGGAAACCCTGCCTCAAAAATTAAGACCCCCCCCCCCCCGCCGCCAAAAAAAGTTCTCATATCTAAGACTGCAACTAAAAACTAAAAAAAAAATTATTGTAGTTGTTTGACACAGTAACTGCATTTTAATGATGAAGATACCATAAAAATATTATCTAGTGGTTTCTAATTACAGCTGGCAACTTAAATCCCTTGTTTAAAAACCTTGTTTTTATAGAAAGACCTATGTAAAATCACAGTGAAACCAGAAATCAGGAGAGAGGTGTTAAGCTTCACTGCTCTGGGAGAACTTCCCTGGTGTGCTTGCCAACAGTCTTATTATTAAAGGGCTACGTACCCAGACAGAGGGTTGAGGAGCCTAGATGGCACCAGCTGAGCTCTCTGCCCAAGATGGGTTCTGGTTCCCAATAACACCTGATTCTGCAAGGCATTAGTCACAACACAGTCCTGTACCTTCCTTCCAACAGAGCTATACTAAAGTAGCTCTTCCTCCATGAAGAAAGAAAATGTACTTTACTCCTCACTTGACATGCAAACCTGTGATACCCCAGGCTCACACTGTACTTTAGTTTACTGCTGCACACACTCTACTTAGCTTCATATAGATCTTCTAGACTACTAAAATGCTGTTTCTTACCTCATCATTGATAACCTCAGATTTTTCTTCTTCCTCTTCCTCCTCTTCCTCCTCCTCCTCTTCAATGTCCAAATCATTCTGCCTAAGATACGCCTGCAAAGGGGCATAGTGCTTCTTCTTAAAAGCCAGGAAATCCATCATGTTCCCCTGAAGATGTTGCAAGAAGAACAGTTCGATCAGGTACTCCTTGAAGATCTCCTTGAGTGCCTCCATCTCCTTGTAGTGGTAGTCCAGGCACTGCTTCCTCATCTGTGCCATCTCCTGGGAGGCTGGTGGGATCTCCTCCAACTTCTTGGGAGCCTTCTTCAGTGCTGAGCTTCCCATAGAAGTAAGAGGCACACTGGAAAGGCCTGGGGGCATGGTGGTTCTGGAAGGGCTGGTGGGTGGCGGTGGAGATGTCATCCCAAATGCTGAAGGCCCCCCAACACCAGGGAGCAGCACACCAGGTGTCCTCTCGAACCCTAGAGGTCTGCTCAGCTGCTGTCCCTGAAGCACTTGCTGCTGCTGCTGGATCAACTGGCCCTGAATGATGCTGCTGATCTGGGGTGGCAGGCTGGCTGTGGTGATATGGCTTGGGCTGGCCAGAGGCTGCAGTCCAGTGCCTCCTGAAGCTGCAGGGCTCTGAGGCCCCAGATGGTGTATAGTGCCTCCAGACTGTGTGTGAGGTTGGGAGAGTCTCCGTTCTCGAACCGTGATGGGAGTTCCTGCATGCTGGAGTTGAACCTGAGCTCCCTGGGCCATCTGGGTGAGGCCTGGTGCCTCCTGAAATACAAAGTGCCCACCACTGGATGGGCTTAAGCTGATCTGCCTTACAAGCACACTGGCATCTACAAAACCTCCAGTGGGGCTACTGCTGCAGATGCCCAGCCCAGGGCCCGGGGCACCTGCACGCACATTCTGCAGGGCTTGCCCTGGCCCAGGGCTGGGCTGTGTGGGGCTTTGCGTCTGGACCTGCTGTGACAGAGGAGAAGTAACTTGAATGTATGATGGAGAGCCATGCTCGAAGCGCCTCTGCTGCGCACCAAACTGAAAACCTGGAGAAGTAGGGTTGGGCAGTGGCAGAGGGGCCAAGGTGATCTGCTGGTTTCCTCCCACAACAGGGCCAACATTCTGCAATGTGATGTTCACATTCTGCCCAGCCACAGGACTCCTGCTCATGAGCTGCTGTATCTGGTACCCGGGAGAGTGGGGTGCAGATGGACTGGCGGATGGAGCAAAAGGCGCAGCAGGGGATGGGGGCAGGTTAGGATGGGCTGGCTGATCCTCTTCACTCCCTGTGAAGGACCTGGACCGCTGAAGTTGATGCTGGACATTCTGAGGACCACTGCCATGGTGCATTATCACCTCCCTTTTCTATCCAATGTATTGTTCCCCTAGAAAAATTAAAATTAAAATCAAGTCATTGGAGGGTAGATAGGATCATATGATTACTGTTTAGTATAATTATACTTAGTAGCACTGGAAAGATACATATGTTCCCATTGGCATCTGAATCAAGCAATGGCATCTCTTATCATTTCACATCAAACAGTAGGCAGACAGCCACTTACATACCTATAACTCCTTTCCCCATCTCCCCTCTTCCATTCAAGATGTCCAAAGGATGGCTGGGTGTGGTGGCGCACGCCTTTAATGCCAGCATTCAGGAGGCAGAGGCAGGTGGATCTCTGTGAGATCAAAGCCAGCCTGGTCCACACAGTGAGTTCTAGGACAACTGAGGCTACAGGGAGATCCTGTCTCAAAAAGACCAAAAAAAAAAAAAAAAAAGATGTCCAAAGGAAAGAAAACCAAGAGAAGCTGGGCATGTGGCCCACACCTTTAAACCCAGCACTTTGGAGGCAGAGGCAGGCAGGTCTCTGAGTTTGAGGCCAGCCTGTTCTACATAGAGAGACAGAGAGTTCCAGGCCAGCCGGGGCTACAGGATGGCCCTATCTCAAAAATAACAGAAAGAGCCAGGCATGGTGGCACATGCCTTTGATCCCAGCACTCGGGAGGCAGAGGCAGGCAGATCTCTGTGAGTTCAAGGCCAGCCTGGTCTACATAATAAGTTCCAGGACAGCTGGGGCTACAGGGAGACCCTGTCTCAAAAAGACCAAAAAAATAAAAAAAATAAAATTAAATTAAATTAAAATAAAATAGCTGGGCGTGGTGGCACACGCCTTTAATCCCAGCACTCAGAAGGCAGAGGCAGGCAGATCTCTGAGTTCAAGGCCAGCCTGGTCTACATAGTGAGTTCTAGGAAAGCTGGGGCTACAGGGAGACCCTGTCTCAAAAAGACAAAAAAGAAAACCAAAAAAGAAGGAGCCTCAAACCCTGCTGTCATGAGGAAGTAGAAGGGCCAAGAAGGTGTGCAGTCCACGTGAGAAAGAACTATAAACTAATAACTATAACACAACACAATACATCCAGCCCAAAGGGACAGTGGCTCCTTTGACAATGGCACTGTGGCAGATGTCACAGAAGACTCTCCTCTCTAAATGGTTGAGAAATGCCTCCTGGGATTCATCAATAACCCAAGCCTTGTATGCCAAACAGCTACCCAAGTGCATAAGCAGGCTTCCAAGAACAGACCGGATAAAGAAGAAAGCTGCTCTCAGTGCCCCACTAAGAGGCTGTCCCCACTAAGAGACCACCAGTCCCTTCAAGCAGGTCAATACTGTTACTGCCTTGGTGAAGGTGAGGAGGGCTTAGTTGACGACTATATGTGACATGGCTCCCACTGAGCTGGATGTCTTCCTGCCAACCATGTTTTGGCAACATGGGGGCCCCCTACTGCACAACCAAAGAGAACGCCAAGCTGAAACAACTATAGACAGTTATAAAAGAGTAGAAGGTACTCGTGAGGAAAGCAGGCTTTGGGGATAGAAGGAAGAAGATGGCAAAGCAGGTAAGCACAATTCAGGGTTAACAGCCAGAAAGCAAATGTCTGTAGAGGAGAGGAAGGAAATAATGGTTGATGAGGACAATCAAGTGTCGCTCCTCAGACTGCCTATTCCCCACCATGGTGGGCCGCAAGCACAGATTATCTTCTTCCCCACAAGAAAACAATAGTGCACCTGACACCACTGACACCCACAGTACCTGACATCCAGTTCAGAACAAGGACCCCAAGAGGAAAGGCAGGACAGTGGCCCAAGTAAGGGGGAGCTGCTGCTGGAATACAGCTGGCTTCCACCATGAAGGAGTAAAAAAATCTCTTGTAAAGTCTTCAGAAAAAGCCAGAGGAAGAAATGTCCCCTGCCTTCTTGAGGTTTCTACCATCCTGAGCCTAGCACAACTGGAGATCAAAGCTACCTTTTCGGGCCAGTGAGATGGCACAGCAGCCACAGGCACCTGATCCAGGCCTAAAGACCTGAGTTCAAAATCTACAACCCACATGGTAGGAGCTGACTCCCACAAGTTGTTCTCTGACTTCTACACATGCACATGCACACAAAAATAAAAAATAGCTAGGCATGGTGGCATACACTTTTAATCCCAGCACTTGGGAGGCAGAGGCAGGCAGATCTATGTGGGTTCTCGGCTAGCCTGGTCTACATAGTGAGTTTCAGGCCAGCTGGGACTACAGGGAGACCCTGTCTCAAAAATGCCAAAAAATTAAAATTAAAATTAAAAATAAGCCCATGTGGTGGCGCATGCCTTTAATCTTAGCACTTGGGAGGCAGGGGCAGGTGGATCTCTTTGAGTTCAAGGCCAGCCTGGTCTGAGGTCAGCTGGGGCTACAAGAGACCCTGTCTCAAAAAGACCAAAAAGAAATAAATAAATAAAAATTCTAGGCCGGGCGTGGTGGCACATGCCTTTTATCCCAGCACTCGGGAGGCAAAGGCAGGCAATCTCTGTGAGTTCAAGGCCAGCCTGGTCTCCATGGTGAATCCAAAACAGCTGGGGCTACAGAGAGACCCTGTCTCAAAAAGCCGCCCCCCAAAAAATTCTAAATTGTTAAAGGGTGTCTTTTTGCCCTCAAGACAAGCAGCAGCTGCACTTCAAGGACATCACTGCTTATCCCTATAAGAAAATGGAAAAGAGATCATGAAGCCATGAACCTGAAAAGTTAGAAAACTTGCAAGGCTTTTATTTTAAATCAAAATTGTATTATAAAGTCAGGGGTAGTGGCACATACCAGTAACTCAAGAAACTGAAGCAGGAGTGTTGTTGCAAGTTCAAGGCCAGCCTAGGCTACACAGTAACTATAGTGTAAGACCCTATCTCTAAAAAGAAACAAATCAACAAGGGAAGGCAGGAGGGAGGAGAATCATTTATGAACAGATAGATAGGAGGAGTTTTCGACAACATAGTACTTTCAAAACAAGCTTTGGTTCCTGCAAAAAGTCTACCAAAGGTCATGTGCTAGCCCTGACCCTAACCTAACCCCAGCTGGTAGAACTCCTGGAGGTGGTGAAAACTAGGAGGTGGGGCCTAGCTGAAGGAAGCAGGTCACTGAAGAGTGCTTTGAAGATAGAATATTACCCTTGGTCCCTTCCTGACTCTCTCTTTCTCTCTCTCTCTGCTTCCTGGTAGTCATGAGGTTAGGAGCTCGGTGTCCCTATAGCCCCCTCTGCTAGAATGCTGCTCTACCTTACCACAAAACCAGAAACAATGAAGAACCTCTGGAAGATGAGCCCAAACTAGTCTTTCCTCCTTTAAGTCAATTTTCTCAGGTATTTTGTCACAGAAAGTTAACCAATACAGTTTCTGATCTTTCCAACAAGTATTAGGAGGGGTAGGGTGGAACTGGCACAAAAACAGAAGAAAATAGAGCATAAATTAGGATGATTCCCTTAGAAAATTCCCAGAATGTCATGGCCATCAGTAAAAGAAACAAAGGGTCAGAATAAAACTCTACATATAGTAATTCACAATCTGGCAGGTGCCCATGCCTATAATCCCAACAGCTAGGAGGCTGGGGCAAAAGGACTGCAAGTTCAAGGTCAGTTTCAAAGAAACAAAATAAAATATATAATGAGATCCTAACTCAAAACAAAATAAAAATAAATTACAAAACCAAGGAAAATAAAAGTTGGGGATAAAAAGTTATAATGACACATTGAGGAAATTCAACTTAAATTCATCACAAATCATACTCAAATAATTAAGCATGTTCTGGCTGTGCATGGTGGCACCTGCCTTTAATCCAAGCACTCAGGAGGCAGAGGCAGGCAGATTTATGTGAATTCAAGGCCAGCCTGGTCTACACAGAGTTCCAGGCCAGGTAGATTTACAAGGAGACCCAGTCTCAAAAAGACCAAAATAATAATAATAATTAAACATTTTCACAAGTTAACACTCAAGATTTTACACTAAATGAAAAAGGAAAAAAAAAAAAAAGAAAGAAATCTTAAAAGAATACAAAGGTGAAAATTCATAGTCTCTGAAGGGAATCAATTTTATGACCCCAAAGAAATAAAGCTGTAGCTGAAGTACTAGCAGGATTTGAAAGCACACAATTTCCAGCTAGGGAGATGGTTCAGTGGGTAAAGAACCTGCTGCACAAGGAAGAGGACCTGAGTCTGAATTCCCAGAAATCACATAAAAGCCAAGCAACAGCATGTTAATCTGTAACCCCAGCAAACCTAGTGAGATGGGAAACAGGAGAATGCCTCTGCAAGAGAACCCTCAGAAGCTCGAAGGCCATGTAGCCTGGTGTATGCAAGGAGGACAACAAAAGAGATCCATCTCAAAAAGAGTAGGGGATGAGTGAGGACCAACACCAGAGGTTATCCTCTAACCACCACAAGTGCCTGTACTCATACACACATATCCATGCACACACATCACATATACACGTATCTATGTGTGTACACACACACACACACGCATCATACACAAACATAAAAAAATACAACTTGAGCACCAAGTATGCTGGTGCACATCTTTAATCTCAGCCCTTGGGAAGCAGATGCAGACGAATCTCTGTGAGTTCAAGGCCAGACTGGTCTACATAGCAAGTTCTAGGCCAGCTGGGGATACATGGAGAGGCTGTCTCAAAAAAGACCAAAAAACAAATTTTTTTTAAAAAGGCTCACAAGCCGGGCGTGGTGGCACACACCTTTAATCCCAGTACTTGGGAGGCAGAGGCAGGCAGATCTTTGTGAGTTTGAGGCCAGCCTGGTCTACATAGCCGGACAGCTGGGGCTACAGGAGACCCTATCTCAAAAAAAAAAAAAAAAAAAGAGACGCCAGGCGTTGTGGCGCACACCTTTAATCCCAGCAGTCGGGAGGCAGAGGCAGGCAGATCTTTGTGAGTTTGAGGCCAGCCTGGTCTACATAGCCGGACAGCTGGGGCTACAGGAGACCCTATCTCAAAAAAAAAAAAAAAAAAAGGCTCACAAGATGACTTCAAAGGTAAAGATACCTACAAGCCAGTCTGACAACCTGTGTTCAACCCCAGGGATCCACAGGGTAGAAAGAGAGAACTGACTCCCATAAGTCAGTGGCATACCCACACACACAGACACACATACATACAAAATAATTTTTTTATTTTGAGAAAGGATCTTACTATGTGGCTCTGGCTGGCCTAGAACTTGCAATGTAGACCAGGATGGCCTCAAACTCACAGAGTTAAGTCTGCCTCTGCCTCTGCGTGCTGAGATCAAATGCATGTTGAGATCAAATGCATGTTATCATCACACCCACACAAAATAAGGAAAAATTTTTTTTTCACAGGGATCCACCTGCCTCTGCCTCCCAAGTGAGTACTGGGATTAAGGCATACACCACCATGCCTCGCTCCTAAGTAAATTTTTTTAATGTAACTTAAAAATATTAATAATCGGGCTGGGCATGGTGGTGCACACCTTTAAATTCAGCACTCAGTTGGGAGGCAGAGTCAGGTGATCTGAGTTCGAGGCCAGCTTGGTCTACACAGTGAGTTCCAGGCCAGCTGGGGGTACAGGGAAGCCCTGTCTCAAAAATACCAAAAAAAACAAAATTAATAATCACCACAGAATAATACAATAAAGGTAAAACAATGTTTAAGTTATGGATGACAAAAATGTAGGATAAAATGGAAAAATGTAATTTTTTTTTTTTTTTTTGGTTTTTTTGAGACAGGGTCTCCCTGTAGCCCCAGCTGTCCTGGAACTCACAGAGATCTGCCTGCCTCTGCCTCCTGAATGCTGGGATTAAAGGCGTGCGCTACCACGCCCGGCAGAAATTGTACTATTAAGTAAAAAAAATCAGGGTACCAATTATTCAGGATATTCATTGTTATGTTAAAAATACCTATAATGGCCAGGCGTAGTGGTGCACACTTTTAGTCCCAGTACTCGGAGACAGAGGCAGACAGATCTCTGAATTCAAAGCCAGTTGGGTTTATATAGTGAGTTCCAGGCCAGTCAGGGCTACTTAGTGAAAGCCTATCTCAGAAAAGAGCACTTACTGCTCTTCTAGAGGACTCAGGTTCAGTTCTCAGCACCCACATGGTAGCCCAGTTTCAGGGAATGGATGCCTTCTCAGGCACCAGGCATACACATGGTATGCTTACATACATGCAGGCAAAACATTAAGATACATAAAATCTTCTTTATCAGTATCAGAAGGCTAAGGAGATGATTCAGTGGATATAAGTACTCGACACACAAGCATGAGAAGAAGAATTCAGAACCCTAGAACTCACATAAAAGCCTAGGGGAGGGGGGGCGCCTGGAGAGATGGCTCAGCGGGTAAGAGCACTGACTGCTCTTGCAGAGGACCCGGGTTTGATTCCCAGCACCCATATGGTGGCTATGAACCACCTTAACTCCAGTTCCAGGGGAATACTAAGCCCTCTTCTGACTTCTGTGGCCCTGCACAACATGGGTGCATTCACATACACACAGGCAATACACTCATACATATAAAAAAAATTTTTAACTGATAATAAAAAAAAAATAATAAAACTCTGGCAGGTTAACACCACCTATAGTCCCAGCACTTGGGAGGCATCAAGAAAGGAGATTCCCTGCAAGGTGGCTAGCTACACTAGCTCAATCAGTGAACTCCAGATTCAGCCTCAATAAATAAAATGGAGGGTGACCAAGGAAGACATCAAATGTTAACTTCAAGTTTTCACATGCACACCTGCGCATACACATGCATGTACACCACACACATACATACACAATCAATCAATCAATCAATAGCATGTTGGACCAGTCTTGACTATAGAGTTCCAGTATACAGTGAGCTGCTATCTCATAAAAAAATTACAAGTATATCAACAAGTTGAGCAATGGTGCCTATCTGTAATCCCAGCACTTAGGCCAAGCTGAGCTATATAGCAAGAACCTATCTCAAAAAACTTATACATGGTGCTGGAGAGATGGCTCAGTAGTTAAGAACACTGATTGTTCTTGTAGAAGACCTGGGCTCCAATCCCAGCACCCACATGGCAGCTAGCAACTGCCAGTAACTCCAGTCTCAGGGGATCTGATCTCCCCTCTTCTGATCAGCCTCTTCTGATCTCCACAGGCAATGCATGACATGGGTGCACTTACCTATATGCAGGCAGTACCCACACACATAAAATAAAAATAGTATTTTTAAAAACCTTATACATATATCAGTAAAAATCCATGGAAACACATCAAAAGGTTAATACTGACCTTCACCTAATGGACAGACAAACCGTGGTAGAGCCACACACAAAGAAGCACGACTCAGCAAGAGAAAGGAGCTAGACACTCCCATGCACAGGTGGATCCTGGGTGCCAGATGCTGAGCTAGCAGCCCAGCACAGACCACACACGTGTGGGTCACTCACTGACAGGACATTCTGGAAAAGGCAAAATCAAAAGGCCAGCGATTAGGTCAGAATTTAAAAATAGTTGAAGGTGGAAAAAGCATGACCATAAAGAGGTACGCGGAAGCTTATGAGAGTGGGGCTGTTCAACTTGATTTGTAGCACAGGGTAACATGAAACAGTTCATCCAAAATTCATAGAACTGTAAACTTTTTACTGTATGTAAATCTCTATACCTCAATTTTTAAAAGAAATTATTCTGACCTCACTGAGTTTATTTATATTCGTTAGAAAAATAAATGTCACCAGGTGTAGTGGCGCTCACCTTTAATCCCAGCACTTGGGAGGCTGAGACTGGCAGATCACTGCGAGTTCGAGAGTTCGAGACCAGCCTGTCTACATAGTGAGTTCCAGGCCAGCTGGGGCTACAAGAGACCCTGCCTCAAAAAGACCAAAAAAGAAAGAAAAAGAAAAAGAAATGCCATTGACTTTAACATAAAGTCATAAAGCTATTTATCTAGACGTGCTTCACCAAAACAAGATGCAGATGCCCAATGGACAACAGCAAGGGACCCACCAAAGGCAAAACAATTTAAATCGCCTATGTTGCTAAAATTTTTTTTATGTGTATGAGTGTTTGCCTACATGTGTATGTGTACCATGTGTGTGCCTAGTGCCTGCAGAAGTCAGAAGAGGGCATTGGATCCCCTGCAACTGGAGTTGCAGATGGTTATGAGCCATCATGTGGGTACTGAGAACCAAACCTAGGTCTTCTGTGAGAGCAGCAAGTGCTCTTAACCACAGAACCATTTCTCAAGCCCCTGTGTTGCTAATTTTGACTCAGCTTTTGTGGTTATCTTTATGAGACAGTCTCACCTTGTATCCCAGACTGGCCTCAAACTCACAATCCTCCTGCCTCAGCCTTCTGAGTGCTGGTATTACAGGGCTGTGCCAACATATGCTTTAGTTTATCTGTTTGATGGGGGCTTTTTGGGGGGAGTGGGTCAGGGGGTAAGAACAAGGTTTTCCTATGTAGCCCTAGTTGGCTTGAACTCACTATGTAGCCCAGGCTGGCTCTGAACTTAGTGATTCTCCCACATCAGCCTTCCAAGTGCTGGATTAGAGACACACCCAACTTTTAACTCAGCTTTTTTTTTTTCTTTTAAGATTTTACTTATTTTATGTTTATGAATATTTTGCCTGCATGTAAGTATACCACATGCACACCTAGTGCCTGCAGAGGCCAAAAGAGGATGTCAGATCCCTTGGACCTTAAGGGATATATATGGCTGTAAACCACCATGTGGGTGTTGAGAACCAAACCCAGGTCCTCTGAAAGAGCAGTAAGTAAATAAGCTCTTAATGGCTAAACCATCTCTCTAGCCCTTTAACTCAGCTTTTTTTTTAAAGATTTTATTTCATGTGTATGTGTTACCTGCATGTATGTATGTGTACCACACATGCATGCAGTGCACCACATGCATGCAGTGCCTATGGAAGCCAGAAGAGGGTATCAAATCCCCTGGAACTGGAATTATAGACGGTTGTTAGCTGCCATATGGGTACTAAAAACTAAATCCAGGTTCTCTGCAAGAGCAAGTGCTCTTAACCACTCCAGCTGGATCAAGAGCCATCTCTCCAGCTCCCTTAACTGGTATATTCTTTATAAATGTTCATGGGCTGCAGGAGGATAGATATATACACACAATGAGCAGTGGTAACAGCAGGGTCATCCTATCACTTCTATATATTTGGAATCCTGGACTCCTTAGTTCCTTTGAAATGCATGACCTGACTACTGCAAACCAGTCACCCCAGTGTGCTTCAGAACAAGATAAATAGCTCTTCCCACCTACCTGCTCCTTGGTAGCCATCATCCAACTATTGTACTCTCAATTTTTTTTTCTTTTTTTGTTTTGAGACAGGGTCTTGCTATGTAGCCCTGGTTGGCCTGGAACTTGCTATGTAGACCAGGCTAGCCTCAAACTTAGAGGTCCACCCACCTCTACCTCCTGAGTGCTGGAAATTGAAAGCATGTACAACCATACCCAATTCTACTCTCAACTGTTGATATCTACTTGATTCCATGCATAAATAACATCATGTGGTACTTGGTCTGAAAGTGAACAGTCCCCCACAGGCTCACTGTGTCTCAACACTTAGTCTCCAGCTGATGGCACTTTTGCAGGAAGTTGTGGACTCTTCAAGAAGTGTGACCTAGCAGGTAGTAGTGAGTCACTGTGGTGGGCCTTGAAGGTGATAGCACCATTTCTTGTTCTGCTTCCAACCACCAAGGTGAGCAAAGATGCACTGCAGACTCCCAAGACCAACTTATTCCAATCCCTATACCCTTTAGTACAACTAAACCCTGAGCCAAAATAAACCTCTCTTCCTTTGAGTTACTTGTCGTACATTTTGTTACAACAACAGAAAATTGGTATCAAGAAGTCTTTGCAGGGGCTGGAGAGAGAGCTCAGTAGAGGACCTGGGTTCAATTCTTAGAATCCACATACATGGCAGCTAACAACTATCTGTTAACTCCAGTTCTAGGAGACCTGACTCCCTCTTCTGACCTCCACAGACTGAACTGGACAATACGGGTACACACATACATGCAGGCAATACACTCATACACATACAACAAAAATAGTAAATAATTCTTTTTTAAAAAAGGAAGTCCTAGCCGGGTGTAGTGGCACATGCCTTTAATCCCAGCACTCAGGAGGCAGAGGCAGGCAAATCTCTGTGAGTTCAAGGCCTGCCTGGTCTACATAGTGAGTTCCAGGACAGCTGGGGCTACAGGGAGACCCTGTCTCAAAAAGACCAAAAAAAAGGGAAGTCTTCACCAAGCATGGCAGCACACGCCTTTAATCCCAGCCATTGGGAGGCAGAGGCAGGCAGAATCTTTGTGAGTTTAAGGCCAGCCTGATCTATAGCAAGGTCCAAGCCAGCTGGGGCTACAGGGAGACCCTGTCTCAAAAAGACAACCCCTCCCCCCAAAAAAAGAAGTCCTAGCAGTGACTATCTTTGTAATTCATAGGTCTTTGGAACTGGTGTGAGAAAGGAATATGGAAAAATTTGGAGATGTAAGCAGAAAAAGCGCTCCAATGTTGTATACACAGAGCTTAATGGGACAAAGGGAGTAAGAAAACCAAAATATCAACAGAAGCCTATGCAGTAAAGACTGCACTCCTGAGGTATGAGATGAGAACAAAGTCTCTGGTCAAGATTTTGACTAGAGGACATTCCTGTTATATTCTGGCAAAGTATATGGTTCTGTTCTGCCTGTATCCTGAAATTCTGTGGCCGGATTCAAAAGTAAAGGACTTAGTTCACAGAGGAAGTATTAAAACAACCTAACACTCAGGCTGTAGCATGGCTACCACTGGCTTCCATTAGTCAGGTTTATAGTGAAAATACAAAGCAAATATGGAGTTTGGCAAGAAAGAAGCATGAGTGCATTTATATTTAAAGTTGCAGACAAGATAGCAGACAAAGCAGCTATAACAGTGAAAGAGGTAGATGCCAGTAAAGAGAAACTCCACACTGAAATAAGAGGAAGGTGCCTTGAAGGCAAGATTTCATCACTTAAGGCTCCAGGATGTAAAAATACAAACTGAGCCATTGACTGTAGCAGCTTTAGGTCCCAGCACCCAGAGGCAGATGCAGGGAGATCTCTGAGAGATCCAGGCCAGCCTGGTCTACATAGTGAGTTCCAGCTACAGGGCAGGCCAGCCTGGTTTACATAGTTCCAGCTACAGGGAGACCCTCTCTCAAAAACAATAGAAATGCACACACATTTGAGAATGTTTCACTGAAATAGGGAGTGTTAAGGCCAGGTGTGGTAGTGCATAACTATAATCTTAGCATTTGGGAGGCACAGGCAAGGAGGACCACAAACTGTAGGCTAGCCTGGTCTATACAGCCAGTTCTAGGCCACCTGGGGTCAAATAGGGGAGAGCATGTTTCTAAACAAACAAAAAGTACTTAATCAGAATAGGATAGAAATTCCCTGCTCAGACAAGATCACCTAGAAAAATGTTTTCCCCTGTTCAGCCACAAAGGCACAGAGGCCACTGTAGCTGCTGCAAAAGAAGCCAGCCAACAACACAAACAGGCAGCACAACTTGGCATTGCCCATGTGTGGCTGGTTTTGCAGGCATGCAGAATCCAAGAGTTACAGGGTCATGGAGGCTTGCACCAAGATTCCAGAAAAAAGATGAGAGGAAATATGTAGCAGAATAAGATTTCCTATGTGGGGCTCTTGAGAACTGTTCATGAAGCTGGGAAAGCCCATGTTACAAAAGCAATTCCAGGATGATGGAAATGCCAGGAATGTGGGCTATTCACCAACAAAAGCTGCAGGCACCAAATGGAGCTGGCCTTAGAGAGAGGATACATGTGCTATAAGGCTATAAGGCAGGGCTGACCAAATCTGTTGAAGCCCAGATGATGCTACAAACCCCAGATGCAGGCTATGAAGCTGCAAGATTGGTATTTGCTGTTGGGTTTGTCTTGGTTTGAATTGGTCTTTCCTTGCTATCTTCCCATTTCTCTACTTTGTAATGAGAATGTTTACTCTGTGTTATTGCATACTGGGGAGTATTTAGCTTTTTATTTTTTTCTTCCAAAAAAAAAAAGGGTTCACAGCTAAGAGTTTGCCTTAGTCTCAGAAGACTCTTTGGATTTTCAGATAGTATTGGGACTGTTCAGACTATGGGGACTTCTTTAGTTGGACTTAACACATTTTGCATTATCAGATGTCACAAGTGCATGGGCCATGGGTATAAGGTTATGGTCTGAATGTGAACTGTCCCCCACATTTATGTGTTTGTTATAGTCGGTACCCAAATAGTGGTGCTGTTTTGTGAGGTTTTGGAACCTTCAGAAGTGTGTCATAGCTACCAGAAATGGGCTGCTGTGAGTGGGCCTTGAAGATGTTATGTCCACTTCTAATTAAAGCCCCAAATTCCTCTGCTACTTGATCCACAAAGGTGTGAACAATGCAACACAAGTTCTAACTACCACAGACGAAGCCATTCCAGTCACCATGTCTTCCAAACCATGGTAGACTATAGCTTCTAAACTATGGACCAAGATAAATTTCTCTTGGGTTACTTCTGTCAGGTATTTTGTCACAGCAACCACAAAACTAATACACTGTGTAATGTCTTATTTCACTCCAGACCATCCATTTTAGAGTAAATGATGGAATTCCATTCTCTTTATGACTAAATCCTTCATTGTATATGTTTATCCATTCATCCATGGACAGGCACCTAGGTTGATTCTGTATCTTGGCTATTGTGAACAGTTCTGGAATAAACATAAAGCGTGCATGTTTCTTCTTCTTCTGTATGCTGTATTCTTCTATATGCCAATTGCATTTCCTTTTTTTCCCCTTTGGACATATACTCATGAGTGGGAGTGCTGGGTCTTAAGTAGTTTCATTTTTTAGTTTTTTGAGGTACCCCCATTCTGGGTCCATTTTGGCTGTACTAATTTACAACCAGGTATCAGAGTTCCCATTTCTCCACAGCCTCCTTAGCACTAATGGTATACAGCAACTTCCTCTAAGATAAAGATATTCTGTCTTGGAGAAGCTCCTTAACAATCAGGATGTGTGGTGGCACAAGCCTTTAATTCCAGCATTCAGGAGGCAGAGGCAAATCCTAGCCAGCTGTAGCTACAGAGAGACCCTGTCTAAAAAGACCAAAAAAAAAAAAAAAAAAAAAAAATAGGATGTTGAAAGGGAAGCAAACAGCCAGGTATGGTGGCACACACCTTTAATCCCAGCATTTGGGAGGCAGAGGCAGCCAGATCTCTGAGTTCCAGGCCAGCCTGGTCTATATAGTGAATTCCAGGTCAAATTGGGGCTACAGGGAGACCCTGTCTCAAAAAAAAATACTGGGGGGTGGGGGCGGGACAGCAAAGAGCAGGCTGTTCTGAAGGGAGGTGAAACATTCCATCCAGCAGGGAAACTATTAAGTTCAGGAAGTAAACAACTCCATAGCGTTAGAAAGTTCCTGAAATTGGCCCATTCCTCTCAAACATATATAAGCCCTCAGTACAGCTAAGAGACTCTAATATCAACAGAGCTACTAGGAAGAAGCAGAGACTACCTGCTGAGCTACCTTTGTACATTCCAGGTTGCCCTGCTTTTGAGAACTGTCACTCATGCTGGAGTAGGTTTTTAGTGATGCAGCTGTCTTTGAGTCATGTCTACTCCTAAGTTACCCCTCACCCATATTCCTATAAGTAGCCCAATAAAATTCATTGGTTCACCAAGTTGGACTTTGGTGGTATCCTTACTTTGATCTATCATTGGTTCCCTATTTGGGGTGAGCAGGCGTTTGTTCATGTCTCCCCAAGAATAGTGTCATGTCGCACAACAGCACATTATTGTATTGTCTTTTTGGTAGTAGCCATATGATTGGGTAAGATAATATCTCACTATGGTTTCTATTTGCATGTTTCTGATTATCTTTTTTCCCCTTCTATTTTCTTTTTTTGTTGGCAGAGTCTCATTATATATGCCTGACTAGCCTGGAACTCACTATTAGACCAGGCTGACCTCAAATTCAGAGATCTACCTTCCTCTGCCTCCCAACTGCTGGGGTAAAAGGCAGTCACCACAACACCCAGCCTACACACTAATTTTATTTCAACTACTGAAACCAAGACAGGTGAAATTGGCAGTCTGACAAATGGCCACACTGGGTCAAGAAAGGTTCACCTAAGCAATGATCTGTTTTTTTAAATTTTACATGTATTACTCTGTTCCAAAGGCCAAAAATGTCAAAAAGTATTTGGGAGCTCTTATCTAATCCCTAAAAGATTTTAGGGTTATCTTTTCAGAGGGGGGAATGTTAGAATAGCAAAAAGACCCATTAAAAAAAAGAAAGGGTACACAAAGTTGTCAGAAAAAAAGTGATGGGGAGATATAGGTGGTGTTGGAGGGGTGGGAGTGGGTGTGGATTTGATCAAAACACCTTATACACATGTATGAAAATCTCAGGTTTTTTTATTTTACATGTGTTTTGCTGCATGTGTATAAGTGCACCCATGTGTGCAATGCCTGTGGAGGTCAGAAGAGGGCATCAGATCCCCATGGAACTGGAGTTATAGACAGTTGTTAACCTCCATGTGGATGCTGTGAACCAAACCTGGATGGAGCCTCTGCACAAGCAGTCAGTGCTCTTAACCACTGAGCCATCTCTCCATCCCCAGTGAACTGTTTTCTGACTATTCCCACTGACCCACACAGCCAGCAGACTTGGGGATTGGCAGCTGATACAGCCAATGTTGCTCAGCTGGTGTTAGAGGCAAGTCTCCATCTTATGTGCAGAGCTGGGGCCCAACTGAAGATCAAGCCACAACAGTAGAGCAGTGGCAGCTATACCAAGGGGCCCCAATCACCTAAGGTCTAGCCACACAAAGCCTCTCCACCGCCTCCCCCAAAGTATCACAATAATTCAAAAACTTCTCTCACAAGGGGCTAGAGATAATGGCACTGGCTGCTCTTACAGAGGACCTGGGTTTGGTTCCCAGCATCCACATGATCACTAACAACCATTCATAACTCCAGTTTCTAGGGATCGGACACCCTCTTCTAACCCCATGGACGCTGCATGGCACAGGTGCTCTTACATGCATATAGGCAACACACTCATACACATAAAAGTAAATAAGTTTCTTTTTTAAACTCCCTCCAACACGGAGTCCACTTTTTCCTTCCCTGAGAATCCATGCTCAAGGGCCCTTTCCACTTTCCAAAATATGTCACCTGACAGACCATTAAACAATTACCTCTAAGCGTGCTAAAAACAAAATTAAAAGTTTAAGCCTAATGATTTGGGACATAACTCAGTGGTAGACTCCTCCCTTAGCATGCACAGGGCCCTGGACTAGAAAACTGTCAACTGTGCTTGGTTCTGGGTATGACTTAAGAGTTTTAAAACATTCTGGGGCTGGGCATGATGGCAAGGGGCCAGCAGTCCAAGCTACTCAGGAGTCTGAGGTAAGAAGACTGAGCTCAGGGTTAGAGAGCAGTCTGAGAAACACAATAAGGCCCTTCTCAGAAACAAGTAAATTCAACAGCCAAGCATGGTGGCTCACGCCTGTAATCTCAGCACTGTTGGAACGCAGTTACAGGCCAGCTTGGACTATGTAGTGAATTGCAGGTCAGACTAGACTACAGTGGGACTTTGTCTCCAAAAATCTAAATAATTTTTAAGCTAACACAATTTTTTCTTTTTTAGCCATTCAGAGTGGGCATATACCACCCCAAAACTACAAGAACCGTTTTATCACACGTAAGAGCACCCGAAATAAGACGCAACCATCCTAGCCGGGGATGAGCGCGACCCACAATTCGAGGTCGCGGTGCTCGCCGACACTGGACAAGGAAACAGACCTGCGGAGAAGCCGGGGATGGCGGTGCAGGCCCACTAGGCTCTCCTGGTCCTCCCCGCTCTGCCTCGGCTCCTGGCTACACCGACCAACGGTGCAGCGGGCGTTAGGAGCCCCGCCTTCCAGAGCGCTCCGAACCCACAGCGGCCGCACGCTCGCCCGGGGCCTGCGCAGCGCCGGGAGCCGCACAACGCCGGGGTCGCACCGCGCCGCGCCTGGCGCGCGGGAGCACTGACGAGGGAAGGGCCTTCCGAGGTCCGACCGCGCGCCGCGGCCTGGCTCTGGCCGCCCCGAGCCGCCCGGCCCTCCTCCCCGCCCGCCCACGACAAAGCGCCGCTGCGGCCAGGGCCGACGCGACTCGGGCGGCAGCGCTGAGGGCGAATTCCCGGGGCGCCGCCGCCTGCCGCCCTCCCGCCCGGCCTTCTACCCCAACGCCGCCGTCGTCCCGCTCACCCTGCACCTCGCGCCACCCTCCGCTGCGTCGAGACAGCGGGAGGCTGGAGCGCGCCCCAGCCGCTCGGCACATCCGGGTCCACCGGCACAGGAAGCAGCGGCTACGGCAAGCGGGGAGGGACAATCGCGATGCCTATTCTGTCGCGCCCCTCACCACCGCATGGAGGCGCCAGAAGCCAGACAGCCTGGACGCGGGAGAAAGAGAGGATCCGAGATGGCGGAGTCCGGCTCGAGAGTATTCTGAGAGAAACTAGAGAAACGGTAGGGCTATGCCGCGGGCACGTCTGGCGGGTCCGGGGCAGGGTCCCGTGAGCTGAGGGCGGGTTCAGGGCGGGCCAGGGTGAGGCACCACCTGTAAACTCGAGGAACTGCCCTGCGGTGGACTGGGGCGGGCCGAGAGGTCCCAGCGGTAGCGAGGCGGTGCCTCAAGGCTCGCGCGAAAAAGGGCAGACTCAAGACGAGTCGGGGCGTGGCCTCATCCGTGTGATGGCCTCGGGGCTCGGGCGAGTTTGGGCTGTTCCGGAAAACGACGACCAGTTCTTGTGCAGAGCCTCTCTGCTCTAGGGGGATTCGGACAGTCTTGGATCCAGCGGCGGGCGGCACGGTCTGGTCGGTACCGAGCCGGGCCTCAGAGCTGGAGTGAATTCGAGCTGACATGAGATGGGGAGGCGGGGCTTCAGGATGGGGGCGGGGCCGCACCTGTTAGACCCTAAGAGCTTGCAGAAACCCTGGGCCTGTGAGCCCAAGGCCCGTTCAAGAAAGCTTGGATGGACTTGGCCAAAAGGTTTGTGGTTGCGTCCTCCGGATAGTGAGTCATGTCCTCTAGGTTATGACGGAAAACTAGAGGTCTGTCCCTGTGGCCTAAAACCTGGGTGTCGCTGTGGCTCACAGAAAGGAGGCAGAGGACTAGATGAACTGACATGACAAAATTATATTCAGCATCATTAGGCTTCAGAGAATGCAAATGAGACTTGACCACCTGAGGCAGAAAACCTTTACCAAGCTAAGGCAGGAAAAGTGCCCCGAATTCGAGGCTGGCCTGAGCTACATAGTGAGTTCAGCAGCAGCCTACAGAGAGACTCTTAAAAACAAGAGGCTAGGCCCAGCGTGGTGGCGCACTCCTTTAATCCCAGCACTCGGGAGGCAGAGGCAGGCGAACCTCTGTGAGTTCGAAGCCAGCCTGGTCTCCATGGTGAATCCAGGATAGCTGGGGCTACAGGGAAACCCTGTCTCAAAAAGCCCGGAAAAAAAAAACAAAAAAACAAGAGGCTAGAGAGGATAACTCCGTGATTAAAAGTACTGGTTGGAGAGATGGCTCAGCAGTTAAGAACACTGGTTGTTCTTGCAGAAGACTGGGGTTCGAATCCCAGCACCCACATGGCGGCTAACTGTCCGTAACTGCAGTCTCAGGGGATCTGACAGCCTCTTCTGACCTCCGCTGGTACACGCATACACATAAAATAAAAACAATAAAAATTTTTTAAAAAGTACTGGCTGCTCTTGCTGAAGACCCAGGTTCCGTTCCCAACACCTACATGGCAGCTGACAACCATCCCTAACTCCAGTTCCAGGGGATCCAATGCCCCCCATCTGGCCTCCAAGGGCATGGTATGCACAGGTGCACTACATACATGCAGGCTACATACATATAAAAATAAAGATAAAGCCAGGCATGGTGGCGCACGCCTTTAATCCCAGCACTCAGGAGGGCAGAGGGAGGAGGATCTCTGTGAGTTCAAGGCCAGCCTGGTCTATATAGTGAGTTCCAGGACAGCTGGGGCTACAGGGAGACCCTGTCTCAAAAAGTAAGAAATACTCATCTAGCTGGGCATAGTGGTGCACGCCTTTCATCCCAGCACTTCTCAGCACTTGGGAGAGAGATCTCTATGAGTTAGAGGCCAGCTTGATCTACAAAAAGAATTCTAGACATAGTAAAGCCCTGTCTCAAAAAAAAAAAAAAAAAAAAAAAAAAGGGTAGGGGGAGAGCATACTGCTCTTACAGAGAACTCTACTTAATTCTAGTTCTCATGACCACCTGGAACTCCAGCTCCAGGGGATCTAGACGTTTTGATCTGGCTACTACAAGCACACACACACACACACACACACACACACAATTAAAATTAAATCTTTTCTTCTTTGAAGACACCGTAAGAAGGGATAAAAGTCAGCATCAGATGGCCCCATGGCAGACCTGTCCTCTAATCAGAGCTGGGAGTAGTTTGAGCCACACCTGCTCCCTTCTCTTTTATCCCCAGGCCAACCTGTGAAACAGCAAGACTGTCCCAAGATGATTTTATTAAGAAATAAATGCAAGACCAGGTGTGGTGTCTTTAATCCCAGCACTCAGGAGGCAGAAAAGCAGAGACAGGTGGATCTCTGGGAGTTCAAAGCCAGCCTGATCTACATAGTGAGTTCCAGACCAGCCAGGACACATGGTGAGAGCCTGTCAAGAAAGAAAAAGATGGAGGAAGGGAAGGAGGAAGGAAGGGGAGGGAAGGAAGGAAGGGAAGAAAAAAATGCAGGAGAATGCAGAATGCAGCTAGGCATGATGGCAGCACTGGCCTGTACATCAGCACTTAAGAAGCAAGGAGAGAACTAGCAAGATAAGATGACTCAGTGGTTAAGAGCATGCATGTACTGCTCTTCCAGAGGACCCAAGTTCAATTCCCAGCAACCCCATCAGGTAGCTTACAACCACCTGTGACTCTAGCGCCTAAGGGATCCCATGCCTTTGGTTTCTGTAAGCACCTGTACTCCATGTACATACTCACACACAGACACACATAATTAAACAATAAATTCTTAAAAGAACAAATAGAAGAAATGGGGATTGCCACAAGTTTAAAGCTGCCCTGGGCTACATACTTAATTTTAGGCCAACCAGCGCTACATAGACACTGGCTCAAAAGTGCATGTAAAAGAAATGGGGCCTAGAGAGATGGCTCAGTGGGTAGAAGCACTTGGCAAAAACAAGAAGTCCTGAGCTTGGGCTGGAGAGATGGCTCAGCAATTAAGAGCACAAATTGCTCTTCCTGAGGACCCTAGCTCAATTCCTAACATTTCTGTTGCGTGGTTTACAACTGCCTATAACTCTAGCTCCAGGGGATCCACAGGCACTGCATTCACAGGCACAAACTGACACACATATACATATAATTAAAATAATAAAAAATTTAAAGACCTGAGTTCAAATACCCTGTCAGGGATGTAGTGGAGACAGACAAACCCCAGTTCTCTGGCCAGCTTCAGATTCAGTGAAGGCCTTGTCTCAAAAAAAGAATAGTGGAGGCTGGAGAGGGCTCAACGGTTAAGAGCACTGGCCGATCTTACAAAAGACTCAGGTTCAAATCCCAACATCCACATGGTGACTGACAACCATTCGTAAGTCCAGTTCCAGGGGATCTGATGCCCTCTTCTGGCTTCCATGGGCACTGCATGACATAGGAACACACATACTTGCAGGAATAACTCACACACTTAAAAATAAGTAAACATGTAGGGGGTCGGGAGGGATAGGGCAGGGGTCAGATAGCACTGAAAAATAAAATAAATTTTTTTTTTTAAAAAAAGAAAAGTGGCCAGATGTAGTGGCTCATACCTTTTATCTCAGCACTCAGAAGGCAGAGACTGACAGACTTCTGTGAGATTAAGGCCAGCCTTGATCTGTACATAGGAAGTTCCAGGCCAGCTGGAGCTACAAAGAAACCCTTTCTCAAAAGAAAAAGTGAGTCACCTGTAATTCCAGTATTTCAGAGGCAAAGGCAGGGGACCTCTGAGTTCCAGACCAGCCTGTTCTACATAGTGAGACCCTGTCTTGAAAAAGGAGGAAAGAAAGAAAAGTGGAGAGTGATAATGACACCTGATGCTTTCCTCTAGCCTCCACATGCACACACATCACACACACACACACACACACACACACACACACAATAATTAAAAAGAAATGCAGTAAAGCATGGTGGCACAAACCTGTAATCCTAGCACTTGACAGGCTGAGGCAGAAGGATCTGAGGCTCAAGGCCAGCCTCAGCCACATAACAAGTTCAAGGCTGTCCTGAATGACATGAGACACTATTTCAAAAGAACAAATAGTAGGAAGGGATATGTTAGAAAGAAGGGTCCAGGGGCTGGAGCAATGGCTCAGCAGTTAAGAGCACTGACTGCTCTTGCAGAAGATCCAGGTTTGATTCTCAGCACCCACACAGCATCTAACAACTGTCTGTAACTTCAATTCCAAGGGATCCAACAACCTTTTCTGAGCTCTTCTGGCACTGCACGACATGGGTGCACTTACACACATGCAGGCATAACACTCGTACACATAAAAAATAACTTTAAAAAAAAAAGGGTCCAGAGGTAGTTGAAGGAGGACAACAGGGAAAAGGGGGTGATATGGTTGAAATACACTATATACATGTACAAAACTGTCAAAGAATGAATAAGAATTTTTATATTATTTTTATTTTTAGTTTTTTGGATTTTTTTTTACTTTTATCAGCATTTATTTTATGCTCAATTTATTCCCGTGCCATAAGTTTTTGTTTCTTCAGTTTCTTCTGGGATATCTTTTTCTTTTGTGCAACTTCCTCTTCAGTCTTAGGAACAATTTGTTCCTTTTCAGTGAAGATCATTTCAGTAACGCAGGGGGAGCTCATGTATGGGTTAATGCGACCATGAGCTCTGTAAGTTCTGTGGCGCATCTTGGGCGATTTGTTCACCTGGGTATGCTCAATGACCAGAGAGTCAACATCTAAACCCTTAAGTTCAGCATTGCTCTCTGCATTTTTAAGCATGTGCAGCAAAAATTCAGCACTCTTTTTAGACCACCAACCTTGTGTCCAGCCCCATTGTTTGGCCTGGGCACACCTACCAACTCCACCGTTATAACGCCGGAATGGCACACACTGCTTCTTTAAAGTGACATCTTTCAGATACTTGGTGGCTTTTCGGATATGCATACCCTTGATGGCCTGGGCAGTTTCACATGTGTTCTTAAAGTGAACACGAAGATTGGAACCTCCTGATTTGCATGATTTTGTAGGGTTTTCTGGGTCAAGAGAGTAACGAACCATTTTCACAGGTCACCTCGAGCAGCTTACAGGATTAGGGTATTTTAAATTTTAATTTATGTGTATGAGTGTGTTACCTGCATGTGTGTAAGTGCACCCATGTTGTGCAACGCCCACAGAGGTCAGAAGAGGGTGTCAGATACCCTGGAACTGGATGGTTGTTAGCCACCATGTGGGTGCTGGGAACCAAACCCAGGTCCTCTGCAAGAACAGCCAGTGCTTTTAGCCACTACATCATCTCTCTAGCCTCTAAGAATTTTTTTTTTTTTTAATCAAAAAGCAGGGAGCTGGAGGTGGCTCAGCAGTTAGGAACATTGACTGTTCTTAGGACCAGAGTTCAATTCCCAGCACTCACATGACAGCCAACAGCCATCAGTAATTCCAGTTCCAGGGGCTCTGACACCTTCTTCTGAACTCTGAAGGCAATGCATGCATGTGGTGCACTTAACATATATGCAAGCAAAACTCTCATTCACATAAAATAAAAATAAAAATTTTTAATTAAAAAAAACAGAAAATAAAATGCAAGCTATGAGGTACAGTAATCAACACAAGCAAAAGAGTCCTGTGACACTGAAAGCAGTAGAAGCTTAAAGGAGAAAACCTTGCCCATAAAAGGTGAAAGGAGTTCTGGGAGGGTTACACTGGGCTGAAGGGAGGGTATTCCAAGTCTAATGCTGGCGTGGGGGCAGTAGGATGTAGTGAAGAGGGCAAAGATCCAAGCCCAGGTTCTGTGCTGGCAAGTGGAGGCTGGGCTTCAGAATTGGTGTTGGCATGGGGGACAGGATGGAATGAATGTACCCTGGGGACAGAAAGCAGAAGACTCAACATTCCATTTCAGGGCTCTGCTGCTCAGGTACGCCATCACCTACTGAGAGACAAAGTGAGATGGGAGACTCAAAAGAACACCCGTGCAGGGAAATGGGGGCTGCTGAGGGAAGCACAGCCCCAGTCAGGATCTGCCCCTAGCCAAAGAGTAGGCAGCATGAAACCACAACCCAGAGCTCACATTACCAAGGCAGTCACTTCAAAGAGACAGGTGAAGTGAAGGTCTGGACCATGTCTCCAAGAGCCAGCTAGGATGGAGCAGTAACCAGTAGCAATGAGGAGCATGCAACTAGTGGCAGCACACACCACCACACCCACATCCTCCTGTCTGCTGCCTGCCTTGTCAACCACACCCCTGTACTGATCCCCTGTCTGTGCCCTGCCCTGCCCCCCGACCCCTGGCTGATATTCAGCTATCCCAAACATGCATGGCAGTGTCCCACTTATCTCTCAACTGAAAAAAATGGAAAAAAAATTCACTAAGCAAAACTATTTATTTAATAGGAAAAAAACATTTCTTTTTTTAAAAAAGTGCCCTTTCATGCTGAGGTATACACACACAGCACATGGACTAAAATAGGCAGTGGATTCCTGGGGTGAAGATTTTAAGATCCTGAGGTTACAAAGCCAGGCCACACCCACAGGCTGGTCCCCAAATTCTTGGCTCCTACATCCCGGTGACAGGCAGGTGCTGAGACTCCAGCTTCACAGCAGTGGCAGCATCTGTGAATTCAGTCAGTGTCCCCATCCCCTTCACTGCTCTCCAGAGAACTGGGGACCTGCAGGAGAGGGGCAGACAGGGAAAAGACTGTGAGGCCCAACATGCAGGAACTCCCATGGGTGGAGGAAGGGAAGCACAAAATCCTGGGCACAGCACCAAATGCTCATGCTAAGCAGAGCCACCCTAATAGGGAAGGCTGTTGAAGGCAGAGAAGCAGACTGCCACCAAGTGGGCAGGCACAAGCAGCCCATGCTTACAGCAGGTAGCCAAACTACTTGGCAACTTCAACCTAATGCCTATCCATGAAAGAATCCTGCAGCAGCCAGGGTCACTCAGCACAGGGTGGGTGCATGAGCAGGAGATGGCCCAGTGACCATACAACCCCCACTCCTCTAGGGACTGTGCAACTGGGGAAGTGATTCACCTATGACTCACTTTGCTCTCTGCAACTGGAACTGAGGACAGGTGCTCACCCAGCCCTAGAGTGTGTGCACATGTGTAAGTTGTGCACTCTACAGACTAGGCTCCTACCTTGGCATCTGTGCCAGCCGCCGCAAGCGCAGTAGCACTGAAGTCATGGATGGGTAGAGTGTTCAGCCACTGGGCCATGGATCGCTCATCCCGCTCAGTGCTGACAATGGTAGGATAAATGTACTGTTCTTTGAAAGCAGCCACCTTCCCTTCCTCCTGCGCCCAGTCCAGGGGCTCGTGCAGCCCATCACTGCCAAAGCGCTGGTTATACTTCTCAAAGTGTACCCTCTCCAAGACCAGGCCCAGCCCTGGTGCCTTAGGAACATCCACCTTCTCCTCCCCCCAGCTGCGCTCCAGCACACTCTCAGGGGCATAGCCTTTCACAATGGCCACCACCAGGCCAACCATCTTCCGGATCTGGTGCATCATGAAGCTCTGGCCTTTCACCTTGATCACAGCAAACTCTAAGCCTTCACGCACAAAGGGTTCTTCACAATACATCTCCAGGATATAGCGCCGTGCACTGGGCTCCCTTGGTCCTTTCTGGGAGGTGAAGTTGTGGAAGTTGTGGGTGCCTTTGTAGCAGGCCAGGAGCCGATTAACTTGCTGCAGGGTCTCTGTGCTCAAGCGATAGCTCTCATCCTGCACATCCCGGTCCTTGTGAGCAAAAGCAAAAGTGGGCAGCATATAGCAGTAGGTCCTGGCATCACACTTGTTCTTGGAGTTGAACCCGCCTGTGACTCTCTTCAGTCCTGGAGGGCAGCATGTAAGAAACCTACGTGAGCAGAAATACTTAAAAGGTAGAAACATCCTGATGGTTTGAAACAGACACTGCTTGCCCAGAACAGACATCCAGTTCTGACTCTGAACCCACACAATGCTGAATGTCATTATGAATGAAACATAAACCCAAATGACAACTGCCTAAGGGTCTGCTGAGAGTGGAGTTAGCAAATGTGGGGAAATCAATCTACATGCACTGCTAAGCCCAGGTATGAACCAGTGTAGTATCTTACAAAGCCTGTGGGCACAAGCCATCAGGTAGCTAGGATCCAGAGACTCAGTGCTGGAAGCCTTTCTACAGAGAGATCAGCACTGTTTCAACAGCAAGAAAACAAACAGAGCTGGGTACAGGGGTACATGGCTCATGGATGTAACTGCAACCAGTGCCCTATGAACACCACTGCCATACCATGACACACACAAAAGCTTATCACTAAGGAAAACTGGAGGTTTTCATCCCTAGCTGAGGGAGCTCCTGGCAATTGATAGCTATTGAGAAAGGAAGAGTCAGTTTACTTCAGGGATGTAGCCCCTGAGAAGTTGCCCATGCTCCAGTAGATGGTCCTACACCCATCACATACAGGCAGCACTAAGTGGATTCAGTGGGTTAAAAAAGAAAAGCACATGAAGCTGGGAGGGAAAGTGGTAGATTTAATCAGAGTGTATACATGGATGAAATTCTCAAACAATAAAAAAAAATTTAAAAACTACAGAAGTTCTGCCCAGGAAATTTATTTAAAATATTTTGCCTAGACATGAAAAGCAAGACACATCAAAAATAACATTCAGAGTTTACTCTGGGGGACTCCAGGATGGAACTCTCCTCATAAGTCAAAAAAACAAAAGTACACTATTAGCAGGGTATGGTAGCATACACCTTTAATCCCAACATTTGGGAAGCAGAGGCAGATAGATCTGTGTGATTGAGGCCAGCATGGTCTACACAGGGAGTTCCAAGCCAGCTGGGGTACAGGGAGACCCTGCCTCAAAAAATAAAAAAATAAAAATAAAAACAAATCCAGGAAGAAGGTGAAGGAGATTGGAGCTGTAGCTTATAACAAACATAAGGCCCTGGGTTCAATCCAGCACCTCAAAAAGAGTCTAAAATTTCCATTTGCCAGTCTTATTGTAAAAGAGTTTTGCTGGCCCTGTTTTTAACCATCAATCTGGATGTTTACAACCAGCATTTGATGACAAAGGAACCCATGGATTATCAGTGCAGTGTGGCCCAGGGCCCTCAAACTGTGCACTCAGCTGGCCAGTCCTAACAGAGTTAGCATCACTGAACTCCAGCAAACATTCACAGCCACCTTACCACCTGCTGAGCACCTGCAAGTTTCTCCTGTTCCACTCCCCAAGGACCTAGCCAGAGGTGGCAAGATATATGTCTGTGCTCCAGCCACTCTTCCCAACCAATTGTATGTAATTTGGCCCTAATCACACATGGTTTTCTGGATTTGAGGAGGGCTAAAGTATACAACCTGGGGAAGGCTAGGAAGAGAAGGCATGACCCATGCTGGGTAAAGGCTTTCCAGTGTGCATACCCTCAGGTCATACATACACCTCAGCAACCCCTCAGTTATCTCGAAGCCTTTGAAAGGGAACTGACACTGATTCTAACCACTCCAACAGCTATCAAAATACCTGAAAGAAAATCCTGAATCCATCACTCTTGAGTCCAGCCTTGGAAGACAGAAGAAAATGAGGAGGAACCCAATAGAGGGATGCTTTTGAAAGCTCTCATCAAGAAATCCCAATGGACTCTCATATGAACATTTGAAATTTCCTGTTCTGACTTTTTTCTGGTTCTCTGTCTAGAACTTGTAATGCTAACTGCTCTTACTTTTACTTCTCCTTCACATCCCCTATTCACCAGTCAAGGACATTCTTTTCTCCCTATAGATAAGAGTTATGCAATCTAGGAGTCTTTTAGAAAGACGCACTGAAGGGGTACCCCAACTGCCTCACCCTGTATCCCTGTTCAGCATGGAAGAAGCTAGAGTGGTCTGCATCCCAATTCCCTATTGGCAATTCGGGTAACCTCTTCAGAGGATAGTGTGATAAGAATAGGAGGTAGGAATTGGCTAGGCAGTTAGGGTAAAAAAGACCCCAAAGAAAAATAGCCAGTTTCTTGGCTAAAAGCCAAAATGTCCTTGGGCCTGTTAGCAACATACTCTGTTCCAAAGGCCAAAAATGTCAAAAGTATTTGGGAGATTGTATCAAGCTCTTATCTAATCCCTAAAAGAATTTAGGGTTACCTCTTCAGAGGGGTAATGTTAGAATAGCAAAAAGCCCCATAAAGAAAGAAAGAAAGAAAGAAAGAAAGAAAGAAAGAAAGAAAGAAAGAAAGAAAGAAAGAC